CCAACTTTCGCCCGCCTTCAGCTTGGAGCTGATGGCGTCACCCAGCCGCGTGAGCCTGGTGTCCTCGTCTTCGAAGCCGCGGACCAAGTTGTCGGAGGCATCCTGCCAGCCGGGAAGAACCCTCCGTCAAACGCGGGTTTTTGGAGGTACATGGGGTGGGGTCTCCTTCTGTCTTAAAAGTTGAAGACACCCAAAACAAGGGGGCCATGACCCAGGCCCATTATTGAAGGGTGGAGACTCCAGGTCGGCGTTTGCAGCAACAGGAAAGATCCGGCCAGCTGTATTTTAGTGTGTTGCTGTAATTTCTCCTGTTGGCTGTATTTGAACTTCTCAATATGATCCCGGCTTGGGAAGACAAAATTGAAACCTGGGCTCGTGGCTGTGACTCAAATACAACTCCAAATCCCCAAATCGTAAGGGAAACTGGTTCAAAACCAGTGGTTGTCTAGGTCCTCACATCCAAATAGGTTGTCCTTTTCGTCCAAATGACTCACAATCCAAACCAAACCAATTTGAAGAAAGTCAAGGGTGAATATCTGCCTGTTTATGATAAACCAGGGGACTGTCTCCTATGTTAAACCCTTGCCCAGGTTTTGGCAGTGTCTCTTATATCGACTCGGTGCCCGCTCTACAAATCACGCCACCCTTGAAAGGACACTGAAGGGCTCGTGAGCTAAACGAGCCCAACAAAGGCTACCGTCATGGCCCCAGTCTCACTTGTTGAGTCGATGGTTCAAAAAAGGTCCAAGCTTCTTGTTTGCCACTAAAATGAAAACTTGTTGTTTGCCACTCTTGTTTAGTTTGCCACTAAAACCATATGCCCAAACCGTGTTCAAAGGAAGCGAGAGGTTTTCGGACGCGTTTTTTGAAATTCGGGTCCTCGAAGTCAATGAGCCCGTGTTTCTCCCGACTCTCCAGGCCCAAGTAGTAGGGCTCGAACTCCAGCGGCACACGGGACAACTCCAGGTCCGCCTTTAAGCAACCGAGCGAGCGGCTGGGCGAAGTTTCTCCTCCCAAAATCCCTTTTAGCACCCTGAATCAATGGCTTCCTGAAGAATTTGAACAAACAGTCAGAGTCAAAACGTTGGAAAACCTTCCCACCTTCCTCATTCTTTGCTTCCAGACAACACCTCAACGCCTGGAGTCAGGGTCTCATTTTGGGTGCAAACCACTTGGGGGGAATGCCAAGAGAGCATCTTCAAGGGCTTGGCGAATTCACAGGTGGACCTCTATCAAAAAACGCATCAAGTTGTCCCTTGAACTCCCAGAGGTCTTTGTATTCCTTTCAAACGAGGGCAACTTGTGTAATTCATTCAAAGTGCTCGGATTGCTCTCGACAGCCCCGCAGCCCGAAAGTGGGCCCGTAACAAATGGGCTCCGAAATCGGAGGCTAGACACAGTACGGCCAGCGATCGGGACCTGTTGGAACCCATGGGTCCCCTGATTAGAAGGGCCCTAGATAGCCAAGTTGCTGCCTCTTTCAGTCTCTGTTGCTGGTTTTGAGGCAAAGTGCATGGAACAACAGCAACCGGCGATCCAGGGACACATCAAAAAAGCTGGCCAAAAGGGGCAGGCAACGAGCGAGAAGTGGCAGGTGTGGGGCACTTGGCAACTGCGACTCCCACACCCAAACAGCTTTGCCCAGCATTGTGGAAATTGCGATCACGTTTGTGATAGCAATAAAGACAAGCTCCTCCAAGCCGGGCCCGCTGGCGGGTTCCATATGGAAACGGGAGGATAGGCGAGGCACCTCCCCTCGTAGAGTCAAGGGAGGGTAAGGGTGCCTAGTCCCGCAGGAAAGGTGGCGGGGAGATCTCCACTAGAAATCCCCCCGGTTTTGCATCGGACGTCAAAACAACCCAAACTTCCAGACAAGAACCTGCAAGATAATTAGACGCAAACCCACGGACGTTGCTTCTTCGACCATGCTGGGTTTGCATCATTCAAACACAGTGTTCGGATTTATGTCCACCAACCACTTTGGAGACTACTTCCTATTGAAATCATAGCGCAAGGCCGACACAACTTGCCCCCCGCCCGCCCCCCCCCCCCCGCATGTTAAGTCGAATCGACACATGGCACTCAACCGCCACTCATGTTCAAGGACGTCCCCTACAGCACGACCAAAAATCGATAAACCTCACCCTACCCCACACTTTTCACCACGAATCATGATTAGTGTTCGGCCCAGTTATAGAATGTATATTTTATTGCTTGCTTCACTTTGAGTGACTCCATTGTAAGATGTATCCTAAGTCTGCCCCACGAACCCCTCCCCCCTCCCTCGCCAACCTCCGCCGCTCGCAGCATGCGCTCCACCTGGTCCTTCGCGTCCAGCGCCTCCAGGACGCAGTAGCCCTCCAGGATCAGCTTGGAAGACAAAGCCTCCATCCAACGCGCGGTCCGAAAAAAGAAAAAAAGACCAAAAAAAAAGCGGGTCCCAGATGGTCCCAGACATCCGCTGGAGTTCCATGACCCAACCAAAGGACACCCTGGGACCCTCGATAGCCAAGTTGCTGCCTTTCTTTCACTCACTGTTGCTGCTTCTTAGGGGTAAAGTGCGTGAAGGAACAACTGCAACTGGCGATCCAGGACTCTCTTTGCTCACTTGAACAAGGGAACTGGAAATAGAACGTTACCCTTTTGACCTCTTTGCAAACCAGACTAAATGTAGACCAAGATCCGGGAATTAAAAGGGCCAATGGCTTGGGCAAGTGAGCTTGTTGACAAGGAACACCCGTGGGACGAAAAAAGACAGCACCGTGGTACTTGAACCTAAGGAAAGCCCCTCTGGAGGCCCGCTACCAGCCAGTTTTGGTGATGAACAACTCGTGGCTCAGGCCCGCTTTGCACGACGTCCGCAAACACACACACAAAGGTTGAAGATCCAGTCAAATAACAGCCAAGAAATGGTCTGATTTGGGCGAACAAAAACAGTGCGCGCCCGCGGTTTGGCGATGAACTGCCGGCAGCCCTGTTCGGGTTTCCCGGAACGCAAAAATGACGAGGTGGACACATGCGCCACCAACCCAAAGGTAGGGCGGCCCGTGGGCTAACAAATGAAGATCCTCCATTAAGGTTCCTCCTTAAAACGATGCACAAACCTGGCTGGTGTCCTTTTGGTTTCACTTGAACACCTGTCAACAAAAGTCTGTTTGATGGAAAAATACAGGTTGCTAAAACATATGTGACCAATACCATGAGTTCTGTCGCATAAGTTCTATTCTGCACTCACAATTGTCATGTGCACGCTGGCATTTGACCTCGTTGGTGTCCTCTGAAATGCTGGTGCGCCCAAACTTGGGCGACCTCTTCTTCAATGGCTTTCAAGGAAAAACACATGGCTGTGGGTCAAAACCAATGGTATCATTTTTGGGGTAGGTGCACCACCCTGTTCACTGGGGGTACGCGACACCCACTTTAGAACCTATTTTAGTGGGGAGTGGTTGATGTTCACTGGGGGTACGGGATTTTGACCCATGGCCACATAAGTAACCCGACTTCTTGGAGGGGTTCCTACTTCTGAGACAATGCTTAGAAGATACGTGTGTTAGGCTGGAATCCAAGCTGCATCCAAAGACAGTTGGAGCTCAAAAAGATCGCCGTCGGGCAAAGTAGAAGCGTTTGGAGAGCTGACACCTAAAGGCTACAAAATACACCGTGACCAGAATAGCAAGTCTGACTTACTGGAACTTCCGCCGGACCATATGAAGTTTTGTCAGAACTGTGGGGTGTTTCGTCTTGCGGGGACATTCGAGACACAAGCCGCCACCAGCCAATGCCAGAATCATAGCGAAAACTCGGAACGTGAATTGTTGGCCGTTGCGGTGGTCCATCAGGATATTCCACGAATGCTTGCACTATCTAGTGTTCAAGCAACCTCCTTGTGTTCTTTTCTGAGAGGACCAGGGTGTAGTTGTTGCCCATACTTTTTTGCCAATCACACCATGCCAAAACTCGCCATGTTGTCATACTCCCCTGAAAACACTCCTAATGATTGTCTCTACCAACTATGCTCCGGTGCCAACCCGACAGAAGTCGGCCGTCAAGCGGTCTTAACCCGATGGGCTCAATGGGGGACATTTCTGCGCCTCAGCCAAGACCTCGGCATCGCTGGTCGGGCCCAGCACAAACTCCGGCGGGCTTTGGCACGGCGTAAGGTCGCGGTCCAGCCGCACAAACCGGCCATCCTAATCGGAGCGGAGGGTGGGGTGCCTGATCTTTGATGGGGGACGTTTCACCTTGCGCCAAGTTAGGGCGTGGATTGGGGATTCTAACCCCAAACTTAACCACTAAACTATGGGGTAAGCAAAGCGTGAGTTGTGGCCTGCTCCGCTGGATTGTTACCGGGGATTGCCTTCTTGCGCCTCGTTCTCTACGGCCTGCAGAGTTCCGATGTCTCAGGCTCGCTTGCAAACATGCCTTACCTTCCCTACCTAAACCTTGGCCATAGACATGTCACGTACCCACAGGATCACGACGGGAATCCCGCGGCCCAGGGCAAATCCTGGTTGGTCTCCCTAAGAGGGTTGTCCCAGTTCAGGCCGAGGCTTCTGGATGCCCCAAAGGGGAATCCCTGACATGCGGAAGCCCTCGTGCCCTTTGATCGCGTTTGGTTAACCAACCCCTTGCTGGAGAAAAACCTACACGGACGACAGTATCTAAGTCCTCCAGTAGAGGTTAGAATAAGGGTACCCTTCTCTGTAGTCTATTTTCGGGGAGAGCTGGGGGACTTGGCTATGTCCACAGGCGGTCTGTCCAGGCGGAAGTTGCCTCTGGCGACTCAACAACTTTTCGCCACTTCGCCTGCGTCAAGGCCAACCACCGGCCGTCGGGCAGGCAGCGCTGGAGCTGGGCGAAGGTCTGGAGGCTGCAAACCCCGCGGCTCTGAAGGCCGCTGTCCACCTCGCGGACGAGTTGAAAGCAAAGACGTGGAGCCCAATCCTCCGCTGAATTGTCATGAACAATTCACGTCCCAAGTGGGCTGGCCATGAAAAGTTCGTACTTTGTGATGTTGCCACTAAAATGGTGCATCCCAAAAAGTGACGCAAGCCCGTTAACTCAGGGAGTGAGACAAGCGCCTGGAGGTTTCTTCTGACATTTTAAGAATGGTTGGTCATCTACCAAAACTGTTCGGGGGTCATGACCCAATTTTAGGGTCGTGGACACCCCTTGTTGGGAAAGAGGAGACATTAACCACCGGAGGCCTGCGAGGGAAGAATTTCTGGACTAGTTTCAATTCAACCGCCAGAATTGGCCAACCAAGTGAGTAGACGAGATGTAACTCTTGAGGAATCCAGTGGAAGTCAATTTTCATGCGATAAAGAAATTGGGTGAGGGACCCTTATCGCCTGGGAGAGGGAACCATGGCCCCAAGTAGCCCCCCTGTTCGAGATGCGGAAATTAAGGTTGGATACTGCACAAATACCGCTGCTTGAGAACCGCGAGAAAGACCACTTTCATAGAACTATGGCTTCAAATCCAGCTCCAAGCTCAAACAAAAGCAAACCACCAACTAGACGGGTAACCTGCATCCGTCGACTCAGGTTGATTCCAAACCAAAAACCCCTCCAAAGGAAAGAAATCAACCCACCCGTCTCGATAGAAGGGCCTCCTCGACCTGGCCCGACACCTCCACCAGCGCCCCAGGCACCAAGAACGCCATGGCCCCGAGGAAAAAACGGAGACCAAAGGTTCAAAAGGACTCTGCTTACAGGTCCTTAGGCTGTGTTTTTTCCCCCCCCTTTTATTTTTCCGACTTGTTATGCTGGATCTGGAAACGTGGCATCATAGATGATTCGCAGCCAAAAGGTGCTATATAACCACACAAGATGAACCCCAATGAATGAGACAGTCATAGAAAGCCCTGAGAAAATGTCTGTGAGATTCGAGGAGAACCCTGCTTCAAGGGCTTGTCTATGGCACAAGTGTCTGTTTGTCACACATTGACCAAACAGGATGAGCAGAGTCTGAGTAACCGTAGCCTCCGGTCCAGGTTCTTGGTGTGCAAATGGAACTCAACCAAACCTGTGAAATCCATCCATGCACATGAGTCGTATCATTGAGGCTTCGCTGAGCCCAAGTTCGCGGAGATGCACAAGACCCTGCTTTCTCTTCTTGTGATACCAACGCCTCTCCCAAGTTCCCCGAAATACGTCCTTCAGCACCAAAGGTTTCAGCAAAACCTCCAAGAAAGACCATACCCCAAAGTGTCAGCCCCAAAGGAGTAACTAAGGGGTAACTGAGAGTACATAAGTCCAAAGCAATGCGTGCATATATATATATATTATTAATTTATACACATGTTTGCGTGTGTATGTGGGTGTGTGTCATAATTCCAGGGGTCTGGTGGGAACAAAACTAATTATCAATCTGTCTTTGGCAAAGAAGGGGCGGCAAGAAACAGCAAACAACTGCCAGGAATTATTGGCGTTGTTGCGAATCTCTAGGGAAGCCATGCAAACGGGGGGGGGGGGGGTCGTTATCATCAAACCATGAGCAAGCATGACCTTCCCCCCGACCCCTTACAGTTGGCAAGCACAAAGACGGGTACTAGGTTAAGCAAAGATATATATATATAGGTATACAGTATACATTCTTATATATTGTTTTATCATCAGGAGCATCAGGAGCTGCTGTTTGGCGCGGTCAGTCCCCCTGTTGGATGCAAGCGAGAAACAGGACTAGACCAACAGGGCCTCAATGGATCAATTTGCATTGAAGCAATGACGAGTGCTTGTCAGTCTCAACAATCATGATGCCTCAATGGATCAATTTGCATTGAAGCAATGACGAGTGCTTGTCAGTCTCAACAATCATGATGTGTAACCTCCATCAGCACTGGAGCACTGGAACGCCAGCCAAACCACACTTCAAGCGACATGTAGGACTCGCCGCATCTGACAGGCCATTTTTGCCTCATTACACGTCCAAGTCCGAATCATCGTCATCATCGTCCATGATGCGGCCGTGGAGTTCTGAGATATTCCTGAAGCGCGGAATTCGCAACTGACCAGCCAACCTCTCCAAACAATGAAACACTACGCCCCGGATCAAGCGCTGCTCTACTGAGTGCATATCAAGTGGGCACAAGGACTCTTTCAGCCTTAAAACTAGATTCAAAGAAGCACAAGCGGTTACCCCGATTTTCAAGAAAAAGGGATCATCATGGTTCCTGTCATCAGAGGCTGGAAAACCCACAACGAGTCGGAATGACATTCTTTGCCAAACATGGAATGAACACAAACAATGAATCCATCCCCAGGTCTGATATGGCACCAAACCCAACCTAGTGATCTGAACTCTCCATACTCCCAGTTGCACAGTGACTCGAACGGTAGAAGAATGCCAACCGTTCTGATTGGTGGAACCTACCAAACATTCAAATGGACGGAACAAGGGTAGAATTCACTGAACAACTTGGTACTTTTGACCCAAACACAAGCCACTCGGGCATGGTGCCAACTCAGCTCGCCTTCGCTCAAGACGGTTCAAGGCCTCAGCTTATCTCAGTCCTGAGTGAAGCGCCAAGTAGCCGGAGGCGGCCAGGTATGTCCAGGCAAAACCCAGTGCAAGCCATCAAACAACTCACCTTCCCAGTCACTGGACATCAACCACTTTTCGGGAAGACAACTTTGGTGGGTAACCCAACAGTTTCCTTTCCGTGGCTTGGTCGCCCCTGGTTGCTAATTAAATGAGGCTCTAAACCTCCTCAACGTGGTTTACAGGACCAACACTCGTTTAAAGCTAATCTTGAGAAGGGGTCCTTCAAAACGCAACCCCTTGAACGCAAAACAAACAAAGCTGGTGATACTCGAACCCCTAACCACCAAGTCACACTTCGACAAAGTCACAGGGGAGAGCAAAAAAAACGCGGTTTGTCCGTTTGGTTTCCGGTAAACCAACCTGAAAACGGGTACCCAACGCTGCGACCCGACCCGACCCCGCGGCTTGCTTCAAGGCCCGTCCTGTCGGCCATCTCGCGGAGATCCGCCGGCATCTTGCTGGCGATGAAGGCCTGAGACGGAAGCGCGAGGGGCCACCAGGTTTACCCTTCAAGCAGTTGGCATCCAGCAGCTGGCATCCAGTTGGTACCTGGAATCACCCACATTGGATGCCAGCAGTTGTGAAAGATCTTAATTTTCTCTAAAACTTGCTGGCATCCAATCACTCTGCAGAGCCAAGTGATCTGCACACCTTCTGGCGAGGTCACGTGTCCGGGCTCGTCCTAGCCCCGGGGCCGGTTGCCGGATGTGGTTGGTAGGTGGTTTTCCCAGTGTTCAAAGGGCTTCATCTATCCCAAGTGGTGCAGGACGTCGTCCAACCACAGTAGCACCAAGCTTCTGCCTCTCCCTGTGACTATTCGACTCAAGAGTGGCTGGTGCAAAAAAGGGGGAAAACCTAAAGGAAAGTTTCTAGTGATCACCTACGCAGGCAAACATCCATTCCAGAAACAAAGGCATGCTTCAACACAGCCCCCAACCAAAACTAAAATGCTTGATCCTGGTGCATATTGAAAGTCGATTAACATACAGCATCATGTCAAGAATACATGCATCCCGGTGTTCGGTGACCCGACGTTATACCAAACAGGGTTGCCCCCAAACAAGGCACCTATGGTTTCCAACGGTTGCCCTTTCACAAACAAAAAATGCTTTTGGATGTGAGTCTCTCCGATTTTGGGAAACGTTCATCGGAGGTTGCCATGCTTTTGTCGAAACCCTTTCTGGTATCCCTTTCAAACGGCACAGGGCGGTACCAGGGTCAAACAAACAGCCACTTTAGTTTGACAACCTACACGCTTGTCTCTTCTTGAGGGACCCCCCAAAAAAAAACGGAAGAATTGGCGGCCTCTTTTTCGAATTCCCTTTAAGCCCATTTTACATAGTTGCTTTTGCTGGTCCCGTGAGTCGCCAGTCGCCCCGCCTCCCGCAGCTCCTCGGAGAAGCTGCCACGGGTCTGGAGGCCCCAGAAGGCATGGTGCAGCCTCGCTCGGGCGGCGGGCGGTGGGCGGGGTGAGCTGTGGGTGGGCCGTAAACCTTACAACGCGCCTTTCGAGGATTTCGAGGGCTCGATTTTTGAAAAGCTGAAATAGAACTGATGGACGGCCTTACAATTTGTGTAAACCTTTCAACCGCCTTTCGATTTCGATGGCTCGAGTTTGCCAAGCTCAAATGGAAATGAGTGAAAGAAACACGAAGAATATTAACAGCCAAGTACGGGATCCCTGTCTAGACTTGCTGTTCAAACTGGAAGGCTAGCCTCAATCCAAGCTTACGAAGGGCATGGAATCATTTCGTAACCCATGCAAGAAATGCCTCCGCGGACTGCTTGAAAACCTCCGATCTCGTTCGCTCGTTGGCCAAATGGTCGGCCACTTCCTCCAGCCCTGAAGTAGACAGCCCCATGGCTCCGTGCTATGGTAGACTCTGTCGCCAAGTGCTTGACTTGCCCCAAGAAGGATCGACACTGTTGAGCTTAAGTCTACCTGGAAGTTTGCTCCCAACATCTGCAATAGATTAATATGTTTAAACCTCAAACAAGCAAGTTCAAGCACGACACTTTCATGGGTCGGGCGCAAACCAAATACCCTTCAGGTGAGGCTGCAACTTGCTTCCCCAAAGGAGAAAAGGAATCCCAACAGCCCCGCCCCCCAACCCCGCAAGGCAGCTTGCCACGCTTCCCTCCCACCCCAGCCACCAGCCAGCACCCTCTCAAATCGGGGCCCCCGCGTGGCCGAGGCTTCCAAATGCACTGCATAGTGCCACCTCAAGTCCAGGTCCACGAGAAAAAAAAGTGTGTCCCTTCAGGGGTTGCAAGGGAGAACTCTCCAGTAGTGATGAATTCCTTTTAAGACCAACAAGGGGAAAAAAGCCTATTCTTAAGCAAATGGAGAAATCCATTGTGCAGTGAAACATTTTTGTGTCCCTGACAATGGAAAATGGATCCCTCATGCTAACCTTTCTGATTGCCCTGGCTCGGAGACCATGGCAGTTGCGAATGGTTTGAGGGTGTTGTTTAAGTCTGTGTTGGTATAGGTATTTCTCAAGTGGTTGAATCTTCATATTTCTGCTAGCAAACAAACCGCACCAGACCCAGCTTGGAAGTCCTTGACGTGACAAACACATTGCACACACACACACAACGCTCCTTCCCCGGCCACCTCATGTTTGACTATCACTGGGTGCTTGAAAAGGGGGTATGGACAAAGCTCACAAGTTCTCCCCATCTTGCCGGATCTTTTGCAAGTTGGCGCTTGCGGCAAGCCATCGCCCCTAGGGCCCGCTGCTTCCGGGAAAGCCATACAAAGCAACAACCTGGAGCTACCTATAGTAGCTCGGAACGAGGGCGAGAATAACATATTCCCAACTTTTATGTAGACCCCGTTTCTGACGAGGCCCCGTTTTGTTCGACCCCAAGCCTGCTTCTTTAACCCCAAACTAAAAGGCTTGGAAAAAGGGTGTCAAGCAAAACAGGCTGGGGCTCGCCACAACCAATACACAAGGTCTCCTTGAGTCAAGAGGTGTATAAATAGGGTGTCAAACAAAAGCAAGTCGGCGCTCAAAAAACAACCTCCGATAAATATCTGGGCAAAAATAAACACGAGTGTCAGACCACAAGCCGACGTAGTGTCAGAATACACCGGCGGGCGTCTCGAAGCCACCCCCCGAGCTGCACCAAATTGGTCGTTTGCTTCAATGGGTCATATGGTGTGTGGCTCAATTTGTTTTTTTTTGCGGGGGGCAAACCGCGGGTTTTTTGGTCCATATTTCCACTTACCCAGGGGTTCCATTTTAAAGTACCGGTTTTTTGAGCCACAGCCAGATTTAGTCAAGCTTACAAGGTAAATAATTACACCAGCATCAAAACAGCACCTGCACCAACACCCAAACTCATGCCCTAGCACCCTGCTGTCGATCCAAAAATAATGCGCCCGCACCATCACCAGCGGCTCAAACAGCACCCCAAACAGCACCTGCACGAGCACCCCAAACTGCTGCACGCAATAACTTCCTCTTCTTTATTAGAAGTTTGAACCCCTATAGCTTTCAGCTATCCGGGGAAAAACAAAAGAAAACACAGCTTTGCCTGACTGGGCCGACGGTCTCCATTTCTCCTCAGCTCCAAGCCAGCCCGCAGGCACAATGAGGGACTGGCCCGGCTCCAGGACCGTCGTCTGGATCCGCTCGGGGGGGCTAAGGGCTAGGAGCTGGGATGGTGTGAGCAAAGAGGTACTTCCATGCAAGCAAAAACAAACGAAGAAAGAAAAACGGGTCGCTTGTCATCGACATAACGAGGAACAACTGCCTGACGCTTTCAAGACATAATTAGGTGAATCAAGCCCAGGAAGCTTGCCGTGTTGCAATGTCCGGGATGCTCTAAAAGCCGGATTCGCCCAGCCTCATTGATTTTTCATGGGGAGACAAGCACAAAGAGGGCCAAATCCTGAAGGCAAAGGTCTTTCTGATTGCCTGTGCGAATTATTCATTTACCGCATATGCATCATGGCAAGTAATCGCGGCATGAGCATCGGGTATTTCTGGCAATTTGGATGATACTGGAACCAGAACTATGCCAGGGGATCGTATCGTTGCCTTGCAGCCTAGCTCATGATGAACCCGGATCAATGCTTCCCCCAATGTTCATCCGGAGTGCCAGTTGCCCCTGGAACAAATCCTCCCAGACCCAGCTTTAAGGGCATGAGTCCAACTTCCATACCGGTCTTGGCTGGATCAGACCACCTATCCTGGATCGGTTTCGTTTTCAACGGCTCGGAGCGCTTTGGCGTCCCACCTGGGCGTTCGCGGTGGCCAGCGCGGCGTGCCTGCGGGCCGCCCGTCGACGAAAAAAGGACAAGTTGAGCCTACTCGTTGGCTTGTGATGGCTGACTCAGAGCCATGGTGCAAAACGACTTGATTCCCAGACACTCCAATGTTGGTGCTATTTGCCAACATTCGCGAACGTTGGCCTGAGAAGGAACATTGGGGTTTGTAGGGCCGATGTTGTACGGAGTGTGTGGGATTGAACGTCCAAGTGTGCACGGAGATTCATTGGGGATCGGGTATTGAAGCTTCTGTCAAAAAACAGCCTGAGGGTATTCGGGTGGAGCAGTTCATCCCGAACAAGAAAAATATCCTTGCGGGCAGGGTCGCTGATTGCTGTGAGATTGAGACCAACACCTTAGGGAGGTTGCCAGTGTTCCAAGCACAAATACCCCTTTAAGCTTTAAGCCCTTAAGGCGTGTACAATTTGGTTTCATTTCATCAGTATCATCCAGCATTCTCTTTAAACATTCATAAATGCACCCTATTAATCTTGGGTGGAATTGGGCACAGCCAAGCCTCAGTCAGCTTGATAAATCACATGTTCGCAACGCCTAGACCACACCTCTCCCTGTCCACTGCCAATCTACGCCTGTGCAGCTAAATGCCTTTTAAAACTTAGAACCTTGGAGGGGAACGCATGGCCAGAATGCAAACCGTGCCGACCCTCGCTTGCCACACGATTGCATGCCGTATTCGGGACAACCTGGAGTCTCCATGACCCTTTTAAAAATGGGTCCATGACCCCATTATTTTGGGTATTGACCCCATTTTTAAAGGGTCGTGAAGACTCCAGGAAGGGATCGATGCCTGTTTTGCTTGCAGTTCCAGCTGGGGCCACCCGCTTCAGCCAAACTACGCACGTCTGCTTATTTTGCGGGTGAAACACGTGCATACTCTTCGGAATGCTTGGACGGCCATGGTCAGTTTATCTCACACGTGCTATAGTAGCAGCACCATCTGTCAAAATTATAGGCATTTACATGATCCGTTTCATTGATTGCCAACAACACTTGCAAGATCTGGAGACCACAGTCGCGCGTGAACTTCCTGCCGTTAGTCGCAGAAGCCCTGTGAGTTTGTACCTTTTGTCCAGTCCGTGGTCGACATTACCACGATTGGATTGGGGAACCCGGGTTTGAGGGCAAACCTACCTACTCCAAGACCACCTTGAGGCAACCCCCCCGCCCACAGGAAATCCTCCTGGAGTATCCCGAAGATACCCGCAACAACCCAAAAATGTTTCAGGGAAGGCCCATGGAATCTGAAAATACCCCCAACCTGTGTCCTCCCCAACGTGTGTCGAATTCTTACATGTTGGGCGCAACCTCCCTTTCCCCCGAGCATGGGTCAAATGCTGACTCCAACAAAGGCCCACGTCTCCGCATCGACGTGCGGGGTGCGCACCTCTTGGGGTTGGGGAAGAAGATGTCCACCGGGCTCACCGCGGCCGCGTAGCCTTGCCACAGAGCCCGTCGCTTTTTTGGGAGCCACGGGCAAAAACACCAAGATTTATCCAAGAGGATGAAGGACATGTAGGAATCGTCCGCTGGTCTTTGTGGGAATTTAGTGAATCCCCTGTTTTGTTTGTGGGAATTTAGCGAGTCCCCTGGTTTTTTGATTTAGTCTTTCCTCACCAAACCTCAAGTAGCGCAGATGCAAGACCAATGCCACTGCACGTGTGTGTGTGTGTGAAACCGCGGGACAAGCATTGTCATCAAAAGAAATGGTGATGTGGCGTTTGGGGAAGAAGTTCACAAAATCGAAGGGCCCTCTTCTATGCTATCCAAGCTGTTGCTGGCCTTTGAGGGAACTATAACGAGAGCCTGGGATTCTCGTGATATCGAAGAGGTTGATTCCCAGCCGCAGTGTTTATCACTGAATCTCATTGGGTATGGCAACTGATGGAAAGTTGCCACCCATCCACATGTTCCGCCATGTGGTTTCCCCAGTGGGAAGGCAGGGACGTAACTTGTTGTTGCATTGCCTCGAAATGTCGGCCAAGATAAACAGAATCTGGCGGATGAATGGTGGTGGCAGCTAAGAATGAAGCCTCAAGGAAAATGGGACGCCCCCCGATCAAAGCCACAATCATGGGTTCCCATTAAGAGGATACTCCCCAGATCAGCCTGGAACCCCACTAGCAATCAGAGGAATTCTCTTTTCCAGAACGCCTTAACCTCAGGTGTAAACTTGGCCTAACCCCGGGGCAAACCACAAATCACATGTTCAGAGTAATTCTGGTGGTCCCCCAAAAAGCAATTCGGCGCCAGAATTTCTGAGACCAAACCTGGCAAAGCCTGCGACTTGCTCTCGCCTTCCACGTGATCCACTGCCCCTCCTTCCTCCTGCGAATGAAAGCGCCACGGTTTGGATCACAGCGCGGCACGGGTGGTGTTTTCAAACATGGGGCGCTTCCAAAAATTGAGGGGCCCGCTCTTGTTCTGGCGGGGCTCGCGTTTTTCGGGCGCTCCCCCAAGCCCGCGCTGCTCGAAGTGCTTTCCGTGGGCCTGCCCAACCACTGATTTCAAGTGAAGGAGTCAGGGTCAGCTCCTGAGTTGGTCCGAGGATAGCTGGGTAGGCGGTCCTCAAGCCCAGAACATGGGTTCGTCAGTGTTGCGGGCACTCCTGTTCAGTTGCTGTTTTGAAGCAAAACCAAGAGGAAACAACCAACGCCCAAAAACCTTACGCTCAAGTGACCAACAGCATGAGCCACGTCTGCGCGCAACCCCCTCGCAACCAGCCGGCCCCATGCGCATTTTCCGCCACCCGGCGCCTATCTGGGCACTTTCCCCATAGCTTTCAGCTGTTGGGGAAACCCCAAAGGTAAAGACATCAGGGATACCCACTCCAAGGTATATCGTGCCCTTGGATGCAGCAAAGCCATGGGCCGGCTGAGGACGAACAACCGGCGGAAATCTCAGACACGTCTCACCTGTCGGCGAAAGCACATGCTTCAACTTCATTCTTGGTAGTGCTTAAAGCCAAAGATACAATCCAAATGATGGACTAATGCCAGCCGTTTCCACCCTTGGGCACACGAAAGTCAGCCCCTCAATGCTGGTCAAGGGGCAAGGGCCCTCAAACTCTGCAAATAGATGCTACCAGGGCCTAAACAACTGGAATAGAATATTTATGTACGTGTATTTTGTTACCCCCTCATATTCATCCACCATCCAGGACCAAACATCGAAAAAAAACGTTGTGCAATCACAAATGCATTGGCTCGCAAGCCATGAACTCAAACAGACACGGATTCATGGCCCCTCCCTCCCAAGGATCCCAGGCCGCAATCCCCTTTGAGATAGGTTCACTTCAAAGAAATTCGAGGCCACCCAACCCCCCAAGAAGGGTTAAGAGGACAACTTGAAGTGCCTCTAAGCCATGGGTGGTATAAGGGCAGCCCCTTTAAGATGTGTTAAGACCGAGTTGGATTCTACCCAGGCCCTAAAACCGCCCAAAGGGTGCGGCTGAGGCGCTGTAGCGGCCGTTCCGTCCAGGATTGTGGCGTCACGCCAAGTTGATCAGCTCCTTGCATTCACGAAACATACCCCGAAGAAATTTGTTTAGAGTAGGGTTCGGTGAATCAATCCCAAAGGATGTTGTTTGAGCAAGTAATGAATTCGCGGGCATGGTTCATTCGTTGGGCGGATACCGCGTTGGTTCATGAAGTCAGCTTGCCGAAGAAATCTGGATTGCCGCACGGCGGTCCCTGTGGCAAGGCATAGCTGCATAGCTGCATAGCTGCATCCGTGAAGCACGCACATCACTCTGCGACATGGATAGTGGTACACACGAACAAACAAACACGGCAGACAACCACAAACAGTAAACAAAGCAGAACAAATTATATCAATCAAGCAAAGGAAGCAAACAATCACAAAACAAAACAAAACAAAACAGACAAACAAACAGAAACAATGCAACAAAAACCAAACAAACAAAACATAACACATACAAACAAACAAACAAACACACAAACAAACGAACAAACGAACGAACGAACGAACAAACAAACAAACAAACAAACAAACAAACAAACAAACACACACATAAACAAATAAACAAATACACAGATAAACAGAAATGACAGTCAAACACACAAACAAACAAACAAACAAACAAACAAACAAACAAACAAACAAACAAACAAACAAACAAACAAACAAACAAACAAACAAAACAAACAAACAAACAAACAAACAAACATAAACAATGCAACAAAAACTAAACAAACAAAACATAACAAATACAAACAAACAAACACACACATAAACAAATAAACAAATACACAGATAAACAGACATGACAGTCAAACACACAAACAAACAAACAAACAAACAAACAAACAAACAAACAAACAAACAAACAAACAAACAATCAAACACAAACCAAAACACAAAACACAAAACACAAACAAACACAAACACAAACACAAAGCAAACAAGCAATCACAGACACACAGACAAACACAGACGCACACACACACACAGACAAACACAAACAAATGCGCGAACAAACCAGCAAAGGGAAACAAAGACTCATTGTTTCACTCATAAACACACCGGCACACCAAGGTCACCGGACTTGATACGCAAGCATCGTCTCACACTTTGGTGCACACCCTGCACCCTCCCCTCAGCTCCTCGTCAGGTGCAAAGTTGTCCTCCCAAACGACGATTCACAGGGGCTCGATGTGGCCTGCTTACGCATCTTCGGCGTCCTCAGCCTGCCTCTGCTCGGGCGTTTTGCTGGGACATATTAAATTATCCGGCTCGACTCGCCACTTAGCCAGGGATCAACGAGCCACCAAGGAAACCCATGGACATGTTTGAGCAAGACTCTTGCTCAAACAGCCATAGGTTTCCTTGGTGTTGCCAAAAGGCCACGGACAAAAGCGCAAGAGGAGTTCGAACTCCTCTTGAACTTTTGTCCGTGGCCGGACAGGGGCCAAAGATTTCCACCGGAGCATCCTGGAGCCTGCACCGCAGCTGACTCAGCTGCTTGCCAGCGCAGCATGTTGCCATGGCCCACGGCATGGTTGTCAAAATATTGGTGCAAAATGTTCATTGCCCCAATGCCTGAGCCTCAACGCCACATCGCCATGTGCTTCAGCTAGGAGCTTTGCACTGCACTTACTGATGCCACCTTGACAAAGGGGACCTGCGTTGCATAACGCTTCCTGAAAGGTGTTGCAGAACAAACAGCCAGCCAACCTGGCGGTGGCTCCAAAATAAGGGCCTCCCCAAGTTTGTCGGAAGGTGCATCCGAATCTGCCTTAAATTTTAAGCCACCACTGACTTCCAGCAACTTTTGGCCCGAGCTCCTTGCGCTCCAACCAACCTCGGCCTTGCCCCCCCCCCCCTCCCATTTCAGGTCTATGCTCGATAAAGCCACACCGACCTGATAGTGACACAAGTTCGAAACGTGGCCCCACAAAGGAAAACACAAAGGACACACCCTACACTTTGTGAGGGCTCCTTGCGGTCCAGGGTCCTTGGCGCTGAAGAGAACGAAAGGAAACTGACCACGGTTCGAAGTTGGGAGCTACCCTGCCACAGGGTTACAAGCTACCCATCGAAACCCAACCTCAGTCTAAGATGCTTTCCACACAGCCAATTTCAAGCCCTTGTGTGAACGGTAGATGCCCCCCCGCGTTTTCTTCCGGGGACAGTAGCGGAGATCATCTTACTTGGGTTCAGCCTACTTTCTAAGTGAGTCCAACTATCAAGCCAGCTAACCCCAGTTCTCTCAGGAGCTGGGCAATGGTCAAATTTACTTCTTCCCCCAAGAGGGCAAGAAACACCATCTCGTGCCCTGGTTGTTGTGGGAGATATAGAGCTTCCCCCCTCTCGTCCTTCCCAAATGACCCGTAGACTAATGGGAATGGGACTTTCGGCCGAACCTCACAGCGCTCGAAGCATCTCAATACCCAATGACCTTTGCTTCGACTGACATGGTGCCACTACTTTTGGCCCTTGCAACCCAGGAAGCCTGGCAGTAGACCCACCCAAATGGACAAAAAGGGCTTTTTGTTAGTCTATTTTAGTGGGGATTGTGATGTTCACTGGGGGTACGGGGTTTTGACCCATGGCCATTTTGGCTCTTACTGCAACCCAGGAAGCGCAGCAGTAGACCCACCCACATGGCCAAAAGCTTTGGGGCGCTGCTCACGTCGACTCAACGCTCTCCTGCGCCAGCTTCGCCGCTTCGGCAGGGGAGAAAAGAACGAAGAGCCGCCTGCCCTCGAGCTGGGTGTACCAGGTGTGGCCACCGTTGTTGGTGACGTGGAGCCTGGCGCAGTTCCGGGAAAGGTGCCTGGATCAGCCAAGTCGAATACAACAGGTTGAACATTTTGTCAGCTCCACTTCAGAATGCGGCTTCACAACACTGCCCTCACCAACAAAGCGCAGGCCAGACTGCGAAAAGCCAAACGGGCAAATCACTTCTTGACTCGCGACCGACTTCGTGCCTGCTGATGCATCCGGGGGCACCCAGGGAGACCTTGAAGAATCGCGCGAAGAAGTCCAAGAACTCCAAATTGAAGATCTTTGTGAACATCCGGATCCACTTGGCAGACAAGTCCCGGACCCCTCGGCGGTCGATGGTGTGATCCGAATGCGGGGAAGACCAAAAACACTCAAAAGGCCAAACCCGGTTTCCCAGCGACACAGAAACGGCAGGGAATCCATGCATACGCAGTAACCCACCAGTAAATCTAGCCGTACCTTCCCCATCCTTCCCTCGAACAAAAAGTGACTCTGGAAGCGAAGATAGACAAAGGAAATAGAGAATACACTCTTAGAGTAATGAAACTGGACTTTTGCAAGGGGACCCTGGGAAAACAGCACTCGATAGCCGTGCCTATAGACCTATCCCTCGCCAGTTTCAAGTTCCAAATTGTGTTTCTGTGTAAAAGCGCCCAAAACCCATTATTGACTTCTGGCTCTATTATTGTGAAGGCGAAATAATTATATTAGCCCTTGCTTAAAGTGCTGACTAGGTTCCTTTCCGCTAAAAGCAACCGGATTGCATGCCAGACTGGTGGTCTCCCCCATATCGGTCAACCAGGCACCCATTCATCTGGGTTCTGGAAATCCGACCTGTTTAACATGTAACAGCAATGTTCCACCTTCCTCGAAACGGGGCCACCTGAGTCACAAACCTAGTATCAACATGATGTACTCAAACCTAAATAAGGGGGCGAAGGCACCCATTTATGGTTGGGATTCTCCCTTTTGAGGACGCTCACCAGGTTGTTTCCCACTCGAATTGTCCGCCGGATTTTCCTTTGCTCCGGCTCCCTCCCCGCCTGGCGGTGCCAACTCTTTCCAGTGCCTCTCCAGCAGCCTCAGGCCCTCTGTGCTGATGAACGGGCACCACCTCAAACAAAGCTGCCAGGCTGCCAGGTGCGGGACTTCGATGTAACCCACATGAAGTTGATGTTGACAATTGGGACCCAAGCTATTTCACCAAAAAGTGGTTTTTTTCTTCGTTCTTTTTCCCGGAAACTCACCCCGAGTCTTGGCTCACGATCTAGGGGGCAAGGTCCGTGCGAAGTCCCTAGAACTCGGATGACGGGAAGGTCCATGGCGAGCGAGGGTCCATGAGCGCATGAGCGCATGTGTAACGATTCAACAATACGACCACGACAAAAACCGATTGGAAAACCAGCAAAAAAAAAACACGAAACTCCAGTACCCCTCAACCTGCACCGACGCAAAACATATAAAACGGATGCCGCGAAACCGCTCCCGTGGTGATGTTGTCGATTTCTCATGTTATGACTTGACATGGCTTGCCATTTGGCATCAAGGCATCTCGTGAGTCACAATCACTCGCCTTTGGAAGTCATGGCATTTGCTGAGTTATAAGGGTTAGTGTGTTTGGGGCACATTTCAGGGTTCAAATGGCATGTGAGATGCATGAAACACGGGAGCAATCTGACAAAGACTTTGGGTTGCCAAATTCAAGGTACTTCCAGGTATGGGTGTTTAGAGGTATGGATGGTGTAAGCCACATCTATCGGGAACTGCAGCATCCACTTCCACCCTTGTGGAAGGGTTTAAGGGAGTTGTCGGGGGATGAGATCCGGACTTGCTTAAGCAAAGCCGCCCATCCATCATCAGCCGGGGATACGCCAAGGCATTCTCCTGAGGCGGAAAACGGTCGGACGAGGTGTGTCCAAAAACATATCTGAGGGATGCCCAAACCTGGCTTGTTTCTGGGAAGGGCTGTTTGGTCGACCTTGGGCCTTTTTGCAGGTTGGCACGTTAGTGTTGTACAGTTCGGTGTCCAGGGCAACCTGTTTTGCTTCACTTGTTCAAGTCCTCAAAATGCCGCTCTCCCAAATCGGAGCGTCTCCGGCCGCTTTCGGGTTCCGAAAGGGATCCCACCTGGGCTTGCTTGTTACCTGGGTCTGAAGGCTCATGGGCGGGGAGAAGCATGTCCAAGCCACTTGCGTGGTGGTTCCAACTCTTAACAGACATATAGCCTTTACCTTTCTCCAAAACCAGTCAGAAACCAACCGATCCGGACTCCTCCGAGCACTGGGGATCCATCTGCTGCAGCAGGCGCGCATAGTCCACGTACTCGCCTGAGGAGGCTGGCTGCGGAAGGAATCAAGGTGCGCAGGGGGGAGGGGGGGCTTAAGGTGACATGTTCGGTCACTTTCAGGTGACTTTAAGGCTCGCTGTCGGAAGCTCTCATTATCATTTTTGGGGTTGTCTTGAAGGGACAACCGATGAAAACTGTTGTTTTTTTTTTTTTCTGTTGGGGAGGGGGGGTGGGGGGGTGGGGGTGGTCGTCCAAATAACTTGAAACAACTTCTTTGGAAAGAGACTTCCGCAAATCTCAAGACAGCTACCCGCACTCCTGTTTGTGGGCGGCCTCTGGACGAGCAAGCATCCCAGAATTGGGGCCCGGATCGCCATTCCCTTTGAACAACTCCATACCCTGAAGCGAAGAAACGATACCCATTGCCGTGGGATTGCTCAGAGACCTGTTGAATTGCAGAAAACCGTGGGGTTCCCCGCCGTTTCGACTGGGAGGAGCCTAACAGTTGCTCCGCGAGGCGTCCACAAGCCTGCGAACAGACGATGAATTCGTCTCTCAACCCAAGTCTGGTGTCGTTTTTCGATTTTGCACGTCATGGAACCACGCGCCGTTTCCTTCCCTACTCCGACTGTCACCTTATAAGCAGCTCCCAAGGCCACTCAAAGGGTTTGCCACATGACTGCCATTAAACCCTGAGAGCCAAGGGTTGATTTTATGGAGGTCTCCGTTGCAACATGGCCCATGGGCCCTTAGTCTTACGCATGTTGTTCAACTCGCCTGGAAACAGGCGCCAACAAAATGGCTTTCGAGGACGCCACCTGAAAACTGCAAACACACACACATACACATCGTGAAACACAAACACCCCCCCAAAAAAAAAACACACAACACCCAATCAGAGACCCAAACACCGCAAGAAACACCCCACGAGCCACAAACAGAAACTCATAAACATAGGTGGCCTTTTGGAAAATACTCTAGATGGCCCTGGTCTTCTGGAATGTTAACCAGGCTCACCTAAGGACACCTATAAAGCCAGCCCTCTAGAGGTCTAGTCGCTGGGGGAGCCCTCCACGTCCGCGGTGTCCTGCCCCTTGCGGTCCCGCTCGAAGGCCGGGGACTTGGAGCGACAGGTCCACCACATCTGCGAGCCATGGAGCCGCCAGAAGTCCAGAGTCCAGGGCTGGCCGCACCAAGCCTTCCTTGGAAGGGGGGGAAAACACCATCGGCTTTTTTTGGAGGCTCGGTGCCCTAGGGGTTGGGGAAAGGGAAATGCTGACTTATGCAACATCTGTGTGGGGGAAAAAACGCGAAAATAGGGGTAACCCCAAAGTTCGGAACCCAGGTGAATGAACATATGGACTAAAATCTGCGGCCCTTGTCTGCGTGTGTCCTTCTTGTTGGAGGCTCGGTACTCTTGGGGTTGGAGAAAACAGGGAAATGCTGACTTATACAACATCTCTGTGTGTGTCTTTTTTGTTGGAGGCTTGGTTGCCTTGGAGTTGGAGACAAAAAGGGGGAAACTTGACTTGGACAAGCCAAACCTTTCTTCGGATCGGCTGAAACGTTTTAACGCCATTTTAGATGAGCAGAAGGTAGTTGAGTTCTGAGGTGCTGTATTTCTTAGGTAATTCTTTCCGTTTGTTTTCTCGGACCGGATCAGGGGCCGTATCTCAGCTGTTTGGTTGCAGGACGCCTTGATAGCCCAACCAACCTTTCCTCGGAACTGACCAAGGGTGGCCTTTCGAGCAAACAAACAAGGATTTGTTGTGCGCATACTATTGGCGCAATCTGATACCTTTCAAGCAAGCGATGCCTTGCTACTATAACCTCCCCAATGCCAAGGAATTGGTTGAAAGGAAATTACCTCATTTCGGACTGTTGAGAACCCAGCTAACCCAATAACCCAACCAACCTCTTCTTTCGAACGGACAAAACAACAACTCCATCCCACCAACACATGTGCTCACTGTGAAACCACTTATTTCGCAACAGGACTTGGGAAGAGTCCTTTGGCTTCGTGGGACATTTAGTGAGTTCCCCCTTCTCGTTCCTCCCAAATAAACCATTGGCTGCTAGATGTTTGACTGAACCTCACACCTCAGCCCAACCCGAGGGCACGCCAAAAGTGTTGTTTCAGGCTCTGCTTCACATTCAGTCAACCTCAAATATATGTGTATATGTATAATATGTGTATATGTATGCTAATATGTATGTGTACACATACACATATATACATACTTATGACAAACTGATACGTGTCAGCACGTGCTATAGCACATCCTGGATTGCACTCAGTTCTGATGCTAGAATTTGAGTCTAAAAAAGGAGCGCATTGTTACAGCATCTTTTTTAGAAGCTGGAAAGTGAATTCTACATGCGTTTTTACAGCACCCCCCTTGTCTTTTGAACAACAACCTGAGTATTCCAGGGGGGGGCGCCATATATATATATGGAGGGGGGGGTCCCCCACGTACTTTCTCATGAGGATTCTGGGTTCAGAAAGAGGAAACCTTGGACAAACCGAAGACAAACCCCGTAGTTTTGCCGTGGAACTTGCACGTGGTTTTCGCTTTGGCAAATTACAACATGATCGCCGACCGTCTTCAAGGCTTTCATCGGACGCATGAAAGCATATGTACTGCACGCATGTTTACACTTGGTGCGTCCTCAAGCGGTGCTGAAACACTGGCGAGATTGCCCCTGGCCCCTGGAATAGCTTACCCTATTAGAAGCTTTGACAAAGTGCCAATTATCACGCGCCCTCGAGGCTGAACCGATCAGTGACACAGCGAATCTCCAAGCGATGAGGGTGAAGAATAAAAGCTTGCAAAGCAACACGTATAAATAGCAAAATTTGGCTGTTTTGGAGTGTTTGTAAGGCATGTTGCAAAAATGCCCTTAATGCAAAGACTGGCCTTTGTAACATCGACCATAAATGGTCGTTGGAATCTCAGTGCGAACATTGCACCCGGCCCGCCCGGACAACCCGGAACCTGAACCAGCAATGTGAGCCGTAGCGGCAGTGTCCTGTCGCAGGCTGGCCCAGAAAACCAGACTGAATTCTCACAGATCTCGGATGCACCCATGATTCGCCAACCTGCGCGCAGTCACCAACGTTCTAAGTTGAAGCTGCCCATTCCGAATAGCTCTGCCAATTCTTGCCCGAAAATGCAGAAAAACACAAGAAAGCCATCTGTACAACAAACGAGCCATCCGTGCCCTCCTAGCACCCCTCAGCAGCTGTTTGTCTTTGCTCAGCCTTCAGACATGTGTTCGTGATTTTTTTTCAAGTGAGCCTTTACCCCAAGCGTTTACCTGGCCCTTAGCTGTTTCGATCCAGTCGCCAGCATCTCTTCCCCATTGAGTTTTTCTTGCACACCTTTGGATTGCATGTTATGCGTTTTGCAACTTATGGAAAACACATTGTACTGGCGCCAGAGCACTAGAAAGCAAAGCCGATGGTAGGATTCCGTGGGTCTCATGTGGGTGTGAAAGGTGTGCCCATGTCAAAGGGGATAGAATGCTCAGTGTGCTGCCCCTGGCAAGAACGATATTTTCTTCCAACCCCTTGGCCCGGTCCACAAGGTGGTCCCTCAGGAACCCGGGTGGTAAACCTCTCCTCAAAACCTCTCAGCGCCACCCTCTGTATAACAGCTCGGGAAAAAACGAGAATGACCTATCTAGTAAGAACCTTAGCCCGAATGCAGGGCGATCTTCATAGCCCACCCCTGCCCATTCTCTTTCACACTTCCAATTCTTCACATTCTTAGGTGAAGGCAGCCCCGGACAGAAAACAATGGCAGTTACCCAGAACCGCCGACCACAAGAGAACGATGCTGGGAAGAGAGCGATATCTAGCAAGAGAACGTCACCTGGAAGGAAGGGAAGGGCGTCTGGGAAGGGAGTGTCATCTGGAAGAGAGCAATATGAAAATGCTTAATTATTAAGTCTTGTTATTGAATTGTTGAATATGTTGTTTCTTATTGAATACTTCTTCTTAAAATGCTATATATATATATATTTATCTCTGTTGAAAACAGATATTTGCTAAAAAAGAAAGAACATATAAATGTTTAGATGTACTGCATTTTCCATTTTTCGTTTTCGTATGCTGTAAGTAAAAATGTTTTCTCAAAATGTGTTTAGATTGTTTCAAAATATGCTTTAAGGATTGCTGTTTTGGGGCGCTTAGCTGAGCACAGGGCTGCAACCTGCGGACCTCCGCAGCCAAATGCGCCTGAGCTTGGCGCACGGGGGCTCCCAAAGACCGCGTGTGACAACGAAGAGAACAAGAATCATCTGGGAAGAGAACGATGTTTGTGAAAAGAACGTTGACCGGGGTGAGAACACTGCCCCAGGGCGGCGTCGGCGGTGGCCGTTGGAACAAAATGCCAAGGCACACTCATTGATGAATTTCATTTGACTTTGCTGTTTGGTCCTGCCAGTGACTGATGAAAAAAACCTTTGTCGGAGCCACCGAAACTCCGGAACAAAGGGAGTCCCACAATTTGCCTGACTCCTACGAACTTCCTGGTTTCAAAACTGTCATCATCCGTTTGGCCAGATTCACGGAAAATTACCATTCACGGAAAACCCAGTCCTCGTGCTTGGTAGCGGCACAGAGGCAGCTGGGCGGCGCAAGACATGATCAAATGGGCATGGCAAACACAAATGAGTTTGCACATGTTTGCCCACAATGGCTTGCCCTGGTATCACTGGAAAAACTCTGTGTTTTTGGACGTCCTCTTTGCGAAAACGCTGGAAACACCGTGTTTTTTTGCGGGAAATACTGGGGAGCAAAGGGGAAATGCAAGGAAGTGCAAGGAAGTGCAAGGAAATGAGGGGAGGAAATAGGAAGTCGACATGACAGGAAAGCAACGGGAAATGAAAGGGAAACAAAGGGGAACTGAAAGGGACATGAAAGGGACAGAAATGAAAACAAGGGGAGTGCAGGGGGAATGAAAGGGAAACAAAGCACAAGGAAACCAATCGGCACGACGGGAGATGTAGGGAAATGACTCGCAACGCAAGAACGGGACATACATGGAAAATGAAGCGGACATACCGAGAAAATGTCAGGGACATGAAGGGGGAGTTGAAAGGAATGGAAGGGACATGACCGGGACATCATGAGAAACGTGAAAAGGACATGAAGGGGAAATCAAGTGGAAAGCCAGTTGTGAGATGACAGTTCAGGGTCATGAAGGGGCAGTGCCCGGACATCGAGGCAACTCAGGGGGGACGTGACGCTGCAATGCAGAGAGAGAGAGAGAGTCAGGGAGGGAGTGGGAGAGAGAGAGAGAGAGAGAGGGAGAGAGAGAGAGGGAGAGAGAGAGAGAGAGAGAGAGAGGGAGAGAGCGAGAAAGAGAGAGAGAGAGAGAGACAGAGACAGAGCCAGAGTCAGAGAAAGAGACAGAGAAAGAGAGAGGTAGAGAGAGAGAGAGAGAAAGAGAGAGACAGAGAAAGAGAGACACAGAAAGACAGAGAGAGACAGAGAGAGACAGAGAGAGACAGAGAGAGACAGAGAGAAAGAGAGAGAAAGAGGGAGAGAGACTCCAGTAGAGAGGTTAGAACGAGGGTACCCTTTTTCTGTAGAGGGGTGTGGACAGGAAGGAGACACAGAGAAACAGAGAGAGAGAGAGAGAGAGAGGGATGGGGAGGATTGGGAGCGGAGGGAGGGCGAGAGGACAACAGAACACACAAGGGAGACAAGGGAGAGATGAAGAAGGAGAAAAGGGAGAGGACAATGTCGGCGGAGTGAGCCGGAGGCTCTACAGTTTCAATTTCAATAATTGTTATTGACCATACTTGAATCGTATTAGACAAATGTCGCACAACTGCGATAGCTGCCTTGCAATTTTTATGTAAGTACACGCGATTAGAATCGTAGAAAATATATGAAATTATGCTTGAACTAACATGTGAATGCAACTGCGCGGGCATGAAGCACATTCATATTTGATTTGGATGTCAGTTGCAAGTAGGATTGAGCTCCTTTCCCCCAAGTTGCTGATTTGCTGAATTGCGTGTCAAACAAAAATAATACAACCAAATAATAGAGCTGTTACAGGCGCGATAAAGTTGTCAAAAACTACTTCGTGTACTACTCTTGTGCTGAAAGGTTGTTCTGTTTGAACTGGGGCTGCCACTGTCCACGTCGCATACTCCAATGTGACTTTCAATGCACCTCGCACGCCAATTTGACTTTCGAGCTTTTGAACGTTGAGCTTAACTTTTGCTGGGTTGGACTTTGCCTTGCTCGTCCTGTCAATTCACTTCAGAGTTCCCCCCCAGTCTGCCCAAAAACCCTGAGTTCTTGCCAAAATCCTGAGTATTTCAAGGGGGGCGGGTAGCATATGAATAGATATATATATATATGTGTGGTTATGCATGTGTATATACATATTATACAGACATGAATCTAATATATATATATATATAGACATGAATCTAATGTATAGATATGTGTCTAAACACATTTGTATATATATATATATATAAATAGACATTCCCTTCCAGGACCTCGGGCCTTCGGGTCGAGTCGAGTCGCGGGCAGGGCACCACCAGCGGGTTGCGCGGCACCGCGGGGCAACTTGGGGCCGAGGCCACCGGCTTGCACGAGGCCACCTCGAGTCAGCGCGGGGGAGAGGAGGGAGGGGAGGGGGGGGGGGCGGAGGGTGGGGGTGGGAGTGGGGGGTGGGGGGTGGAAGAGTGGAAGGGCAAATCTAAAAAAGTCCTGATCGAGAAAGGAAAGCTGCTAGACACCGACAGTTTGGATAAGTGCGAAGTTTATGTTGGTTCCAGCCACACCAAATCAACGGAAAATGATCAACAAGTCAGTTTTGGCGTGGCGGTGTTGGAGTGTTCGAGCTTACATGGACACTCGCCCTCCTTGAAACGGGACTAAAGTCCACAACCGATGTTGATCATTTACGTAGAACCCTGATCGTGATATTGCGGGGTGACAAATACGACTTCTTTCGTGGATGAAGGGCAACCCACCCAAAAAAAAACGAAGAGATCAAAGTGGGCGCGGAAGGTCGGAATGGCCACTTTGTGACTGAGGGGCGAATGGGGAAGCACAATTATTTGGACACAAACTGACCTGAAGCTAATAGTAACTAGATTCAGGTGGTAACCCTAGCGCCCATCTCCGAAACCGCTCCAGAGCCTGAAGACCGCAGAGCGTTCAGCTGGGGAGAAACCATCCCACCACAAGACACCTGACTCTCAGCTAGCCTTTTACAATATGTGAGGTTGAAAGCACATGACTTTCTGGGGGAAAGCAGAGCGAAGCCTGTGCAAGAATGGATACTTGACTTGTGGCCAAGTTCAGCGCCTTCACAGAATCTCTTCGGATCACTCAACAAAGTCATCAATTGTCCGTCCCCTTTCAACTAACATGTGCTGATATCTATGGCATCCAGGCAAACAAGTGCAATGTGATGATATGTGATGAAATCTATAGCATCCAGGCAATCAAATAGACAAATAGGTGCAATGTGATGATATCTGATGATATCTATAGCATCCAGGCAATCAAATACACAAATAAGTGCAATGTGATGATATGTGATGATATCTATAGCATCCAGGCAAGCAAATAGACAAATAAATGCAATGTGATGATATGTGATGATATGTGATGATATCTATAGCATCCAGGCAATCAAATAGACAAATAAGTGCAATGTGATGATATGTGATGATATCTATAGCATCCAGGCAATCAAATAAACACAAAAGTGCAATGTGATAATATGTGATGATATCTATAGCATCCAGGAAATCAAATACACAAATAGGTGCACTGTGATGATATGTGATGAAATCTATAGCATCCAGGCAATCAAATAGACAAATAAGTGCAATGCCATGATATGTGAGGATATCTATAGCACCCAGGCAATCAAATAGACAAATAAGTGCAATGTAATGATATGTGATGATATCTATAGCATCCAGGCAATCAAATAAACAAATAAGTGCAATGTGATGATATGTGATGATATCTATAGCATCCAGGCAATCAAATACACAAATAAGTGCAATGTGATGATATGTGATGATATCTATAGCATCCAGGCAATCAAATAAACAAACAAGTGCAATGTGATGATATGTGATGAAATCTATAGCATCCAGGCAATCAAATAGACAAATAGGTGCACTGTGATGATATCTGATGATGTCTATAGCATCCAGGCAATCAAATACACAAATAAGTGCAATGTGATGATATGTGATGATATCTATAGCATCCAGGCAATCAAATCTTATAAACAAATGAGTGCAATGTGATGATATGTGAGGATATCTATAGCATCCAGGCAATCAAATAGACAAATAAGTGCAATGTGATGATATGTGATGATATCTATAGCACCCAGGCAATCAAATCAAATACACAAATAAGTGCAATGTGATGATATGTGATGATATCTATAGCATCCAGGCAATCAAATAAACAAATAAGTGCAATGTGATGATATGTGATAATATCTATAGCATCCAGGCAATCAAATAGACAAATAAGTGCAATGTAATGATATGTGATGATATCTATAGCATCCAGGCAATCAAATAGACAAATAAGTGCAATGTGATGATATGTGATGATATCTATAGCATCCAGGCAATCAAATAAGCAAATTAGTGCAACAAGTTTGGGTCAGAGTGCCTCAGGGTCGCACGACCTCTGCGACAAAAAGCCCAAACATTTGGCCCTACAAGACGAACTCCTCCAAAGGACCTCTGGATTCTCGGAGGAAAGCGATCTGGATGCAACTCTCCAACCTTTGAAAGCAGGGCTGTGGGGAATGACCACTTCTGTGATACAACAGAAAGGGATTCCCAAAGACTATTTCATATAAAGGGGGACTTCCAAAAGTATCACAGTGGTTGGAGAAACCCCGATTGATCCCCACAACTGTATTTGAAAGGGACCCACCCGCATCGAACTTTCACGCCGATCGCACTTCGAGAGGACGGCTGGATTTGCGATTTGCCATGCCAAGCTGACTGGAGCCTCGGAGTGACGGGGTTGGAACCAGAGTTGGGCGGGTTGGCCCATTTCTTTTCAGCAGGTTTAAGCTACACTTGTTGAAGCAACCTGCTTTGGGTGTCCGTTTGCAGCAACGAGTCTGGTTGTTGAAACACGTTTTTCTGAACCCTGGCTGGAACCCTGGAAAGTGACATGGCCCAAATGGCTTTCTGTCGGCTAGGGGGCTGATGAAAGCAACATGATTGTGCTATGCCCCAATCCCAGGGAACACCAAATAGTAGATGTTCGGGTTCTGTGTCAAATGCAGTCAGCCTGCAATTGTTTTACAATAAAAAGGAAAGGCAGCCCTTTGTAAATACCAAAGTGGTTGATTCCCATGACTACTTTGTCACTTCAAGTGGTTTCCCATTGTATGGCAAAAAATGGCCCCCACCCAGACCCCCAGTGGCCACTGGCACACAAAGCACCCTATTGCACCCTTGTTGTTGGTAGTTGCCATTTCAAAGGAATAAAGGAAGCAACCCACGTGCCTGGGCAAACAGAAAAACATGGCGCGCCGCGTTTTTGGGTGCCAAGGCGCCGCCGGCTGATAGCTGCTGCCAGCTCGTAGGTGCCGGCACCAGGACAAATACTCCTCACAGCAGTCGGCCCTACACCCCAACGGACAAACCCAGAGCTTGCGAACTCTTCGATATGGGACCCCTGGGATTCTGGAGGGAACTTTGGTTTGGTCGCCCTGAAACCAATAGACCAACCCACAAGCTTGCAGTTGCTCATATGCTCTCTTCAAACTCGGGAGGTGCCAACCCATCTTTATGGTGCGGGGGCAAAGGGCATAAATTCGATAAATTTGGGGCAGGCAATTTTGGGGCTCGCGAATTGCCTTGAACATGGCTTAGAACCATTCCAGCAGCGCCCTTTGACTTTCTGGCCGGTGTACGGCGCCGTCTTGGACCCTGGAGCCGTCTTCCGCCTTCTACTTTGACTTTGACTACCGGTTTTTGTGGGAGAAGGCTAATTATGTGCGACCGCTCGACGAAGCGTGCAACCTGACATGTGTGAAAGAGAGTCACAAATATCAGAGAGGCAAATTACATAGAAAAACAGCAAGACTGTTCCGGCTCTGTGGCTGCTATGAGGTTTCTAACAAAACTCGGCTCGAGATTGCAGCGGCACAGAAGATGCAAACGCCGGGCATTCCTGACTGTATGGATCACCTTGAGCCTTCCATTGAGTGCCCGAAACCTACTGAATCGAATCATGTTGAAGCTGCTCGTGAAGTACTATTTTTCCAGTAAAACTTGCGGCTGCGATTCCTCATCGACCACGAACTCCAAATGCGAAAACGCAAGACCTGCAACCCGCGAACCCCCTCGCCCCAATCCTGGGAGGCCTCCCCGATCTTGCGCTCGGCCAGCGCCTGTCAGATCCCCCGCGAAAAGGTTCACTTTCAAATTGGGTTAAATGGAAACCACCACTAAACCCCAAAACCCTAAGCCAAAAAGCTAATCCGCATGGCCGGAAGCCACCAAGTGGTGAGACACCTGGTCAAATTTATGCGACTGGTGATTTCTATGGCCAACAAAAACATAAAGGCTGATTAGAGTGCAAATGTCTTCCACAGTCGCACCTGGTCAGAATCTGCGACTTGTAATTTCTATGCCCAAAACGAAGGCTGAGAAGGGCAAATGTCTTCCGTTTCAATCACAATCGACCAACCACCCCACCAACCCCTTCATCCCCTTCACTCGCCTGGCGCGCTCGCGACAGGAACGCGCTGGCCGCCTTCGGGGCTTCGCCTTAAGACGGAAGGTTCAAACCCGGGGGGAAATATGGGGAAATATGGGCCCCTCTTTGGCGGAAAGCATCTTTTTCACAACAATGCGCCAGAAAACGCGGAAATGAGGAGAATATGTCTGAAATACTCGCTTTCTTCCCCTTCTGGCTGCTTTGCAAGGATACGATTGGGGTAGAAAATTGGTCCTGGAGCCGCAGGTCGAATAAGGCTTGGACTTGAACACATCTACCCTCCGGGTTTCTTGGTACCAAATGACCCCGAAAGGTTGATGACCATCCCACCCACCCAACAAAAGGGGGTGGGGTGAGAATGGGACGTATGAACAAAAGGAACACGATGAAAGAAGGTCGGAACAAGGGAATGGCACAGCCCAAACGAACGCCCACAAACGCATGAAGCACGTTGGCAAATGTGCTGAAGGAACCAGGAACACGCCTCAAAACATCACATGGTCGGTTGGTTCATCTAGGAACACAGTGCGCTGTACAGTGAAGACTTTGCTGATCCTACTCCATAAGCCCTATAAGCCAAAGCAGGCCGAATCGGCCACAGCAACGGCAGGACTGCGGGTTGCTTTTGCACGCCCAGCGAAACACGGGTGTTGAACGCACCTTCCGCACAGAGAGAGACAGCCCCTACGAGTGAAAGAAAGTGGCCAGGGCCACATGGCTCCGAGCCCCAAAGTCAATTGGCTGAGATCAGTTCGTTGCCATTCTGACAGAGGAACTGTTCTGGAAAACAAAAGGCTACAAGCAAGTAAGCCTTTTGTCCGGAGTCCCTCTGCTTCCTTTGGGAGTCAACCAAAATCGGGGTGCCCGGCTGCCCAGCTGTCACACAACCTAGGATTTTTATATTCACACCCATCATCAGTATAGTCAAGGGCAAAGACGTACGACGGCGCCACATGTTGACCCAAGCAAGTTGCAAACACAAATAACGAGGCACCCTCCCACCAACTAACACGGAAGTGCAAAAAGGGCCTTTCCAAGAGGAAAGTCGTCTTTCTACAGGGGTCTGTGCACTTCCATGTTGAGGGTCAGCGATTTCCGATGTCTTCGATTTCTTTCAACGGGCGCCGGGCCCTTTGGCCGCAACTGGCCGTTGCTGGCGATGAACAGCTCAAGGTCCGACTTCTTCCAGTAGGCGGCCTCCTGCGCGCGCGCTCAGCAGCCCGGCCGGCCCCAAGTAGCACGAGTGGCCTCCCTTCAAAAGAAAGACAAAGACGGGCTATGGCTCGAAAAGAACAAACCCAACTGGAAAGCCGCATGAGATTCGATCCAGATATTTTGGAAGCCTTGAGTGAGATTTACCTCGTAGCCGCACAGGGACAATGTGGCCGCCCTTCGATACGTCAATTGGGCGTCCCAAAAAAAGGGACCCTGTGGGTTTCCACATTCTCTTTAAACTACTCCAAAAACGGGTACACTCAAAGACCAAGCATTTCTTGGCCCAAACGGTATGCCAAAAATAACATCTTCAGATTCTGCTTCATATTTCATCGTAACCTTCAAATTTACACAAGCATAAGTTCTGAGACTTGGGGAACCAGTGGTTTAAAAGAGCAAACAAAACGCCACTTGATTAAGCCCCCTATTTTCACACATACCCAGATTATGTCTATCATAAACCCCTCCATCAACGATCTTGAAAACCGAAGCCAATCATACAAAAAAGACATCGCTTCTAACATCTACCCCCCACCCGCCCCCCCCCACGCCCCCCACTCCACCCCAAAGCCTCTCCTCAGGCACCTCCCCCTGGAAGTCCGGGAAGAGCGCCTTCAGCTCCTCGATCTCCGACTTCTCCAGCGGCGCTGCCAGGAGCTCCGCCATCCCAAATCCCACGGGAGCGGGTTGCCCCCAGGCGAGGGGCTGGGCCAAGGTGAAAACACACCGAACCCAAGCCCGCAGCTCCAAATTATCCCGCATATATATATATATATGTATTAATATTAATATATATATATATATGGCAGATATATGATGTGTGAGATGGTTGATACTTTCCTTGGTAATAGGGCAGAGATGCGGTTGATGGCTGGTCATTTTTCTTTGCTCATAATTAGGTCAAAGTGTTGTTGATGGTCCCAATGGTTGACCCCGCTGGACTAGTGTCAAAGGCGTGAAAGATCCCCGTTCAAAGAAATGATCCATGTGGGGGGGCATGAATCCAAGGTTGGCGTTCATCCACTGCTTGGTCAATGTTCGACCCTAAACTTGTAATTTGAGTCTTTTCTACACATTGTACCAAGATAACCAGGAGGAATCGAGATTAGACCAAACTGAGAACTATTTGGTCGGAGAGGCTGTTCCAATTGCAGAAGGGCGTCGGTGCATTGGAGCGTGCTCTATTTCTGCAATGCCGGCCTTTGTAATGTCGCTTGTGTGCAAAGTGTTTGGCCGAGGTGCTTCGGATTGGTCAACTGAAGCTTCTTGGAACCAAACATGTGGCATGGCAACTGCCACAACTGCGGTCCTGTCTCTACAAGGTGCAGGCTCAGTGATGCCATGTGTCCTGCTGCGCCATGACACATCAGCTTTTGCTCAAGCAAGATCGGCGCTTGAGGGCAGCAATAGCGTCTTGACCATGGGAAACGCATTGCTTCCAAAAAACACACGACTAACCAACCCGCGATAAAGCAAACCCCTAAAGGAGCCTTCATAGGTGCGGCCGCAACGCTCCGTAAACAGGTCTCAACAACCGCCCCTTGCGTAAAATAGCCAAACAAGGCTTGGGTCGGGATATACACACCAACTCGGCAAAAGAACCTACTGAGGGATCCCAAAAGCTGTCTCTCCTGAAGCAAAAAACTGTCGCGCCCATACCAAAGGCCCATGAGATGCAGAAGAGACCGGGTTTGAACGGGAGGAGGAAAGAATGCTTTTCCCGGGTTGGGCATGACACATCTTCCATCCCTGCCTTCTCGAGAACCAGCAAGTCTGGGGTTGGAAAAGCAAAACAGTATCAAAAGAGCATCCGAGCGCCAGTTGACAGGACTTGTCTTCCTTAGATGGGTTCCACCACCCAAACCACTATCGAGTCTCGTCTAGCAATGTGAGGTCATTTGAGGTCTTTCGGACCCACCCGCCCCCCACCCAATACAGGATTTCTGGGGATGGCATGCGATCAAAGCGAGCAAAAGGTTTCAGCTGCCCACACCAATGTGCCCCACTGGAGAGATGTTACGCCCCCCCCCCCAGTCGAGCTTGGGGCAAAAAAGAAATGGAAGCCTGTGTTGATGATGGCAGCAAGTTGGTTTGTTTTCATGCTTAAACCTTTCGAAATTTCTGAGACTGACCCAATCAGTTTATTGGCCTGTCAACTGCCCCAATGCTGAAATCGTAAAGCCAGGTGCCCATGTCATTTAGGGGTGGTTTTCCTGCATGTTTCTTTTGAGGTCGCACCCCAGAAGAACAGTCTGTATGGAAAGCCAAAGCTGTATTCAGACCACCGAATGGTAAAACAACATCGACTGAAGGACGGCGACATCGCAATTTTGAAGGGGCCTACAAAGGTGTGATCGCCAAGCATGCCGAAGAGTAAACCCCCATAGAGTAAATCATTGGGCAAGGTGTCACATATGTCTGCTTTCGCGTTCTTCCTAGTTGCTGGTTCTCAGTAGGAAAGGTATGAGCCATCCCCGGCATCCTTTAAGGGAATTTTGTGGGATACCCAGTTGCCGACCTCTCTCTGTGATGAAGGTCCTGTATTCTTTGAGAGCCGTAACCAGGGTAAACGCTGTTTGGTTGCAATGGTTCCCCTTGCTGTGGCTCTGTCTCAGATGAATGAAAATACCACACTCGGTTCATCCACCGCCGAGTGCCGCACGTGTCAAGCACCGTTTTGCCACAACCCTCGTTGAGGTGCATTTCGCAGCTGCTGTCACTCACCCCTTCCTCTACAGTTCACCAACGCAAATAAAGCAGGGGAACCGAAGGAAAAAACACTTCATCATGTCATGGCCTGCGGGCCGCTTTGCACCTGAATGAATCCCTGCAACCGTTCATCTTGGGGAGCGCCCAGCGCGAAGTTGCAATGCAGCGACTGTGCCATGAGAACCGGTGCCGGAAGCGAAGGGGCCCCATGTTGTGTGGCCTGCTTTTGCGGAAGGAGGATTTGTTGCCACTATAGAGATCAACCTTTCAGAATGACTAAACATGGGCAAATTCTGAGCAACCGAATCTATTCATGTTGGACCTGGGAATGAGAACCGAAGAAAGATGCCCTTTCAGGGTTCCGATCCGTCTCCTTGAACATGGCGTCCCCTGTCAGGTGAAGCTTGATTGAATTCTTGAATGAGGCACCCGCCCGCCTGCCCCAGCAAAAAACAGGCAAAGAAGTGGATGGTCGCAAGTTCTGTTGGCTTCAACCCTTTGAACAACCCCGTGGTCCGGCCCTACGCACCCCTTCGGCGCAAAATTGATTCATGGCGACTGCAAGTCTTTCCGTTTGAAGTGGTCAAGAGGCGGAGCACTGCAAAGGCACCCTCCTATTTTTAGGGCCAACTACAGTTGCTTTGTTTGGCGCTCCCTTGCAACTCAATATTTGACGGAGAAAGTGTCTGACACTGGGCCCCTTGCTAGGTTGCAACATTGTGGCAAACCCGAGCTGATGTACCCCCCCCTTCTGACAATGGTCCTTCTGACAATGGTTCCTGACTCTCAGCTGGCTTTGTATCTCACTCTCTGGGTGACTTACTTACGATAATTCGCCAAAGCGGTATGACAGGGGAACCTTTGAAAGGATGAGGTTGCAATCTCCCTTTGTGAGGCTGCTATACCCCCCAAACAGGTTGTCCACTTCCTCAAAATCACTACCTCTAAGAGGTAGTAACGTTGTTTGGGGCTAGTGGAAGTCTTCGATTTGCTCTGCCCAGAAATATCCAACGATCAAACACGGAAGAAGATTCCAGACAAGGTCAAAGGCTCCGTCACTTGCCAACGCCAATCCGCTTTAAGCGGTGCGACTAAGCCGACAGGGCAAAAAATGACCTCCAGCGCATGCGTTCCGCTCGGAAGCTTCGCTGGGTCAAGCAGATTTCGGCCAGGGCCTTTGGCGTCTGAGGGGAAAACAACCAGTATGCTTGTATTTGCTCCAACAGACCACGGAATTCGACCCTTGAAGATTTGGTATACAGAATCCTATCTGAGAGGGTTGCAGCTTACTACATTTCCCCTCAAAACATCACCCCTACCAAAAGCAACTCACTCTAAACATGGACCCAACAGGTGATTTTTCTCGCCACCACGAGGGACATATAGGGACCCCTGCCAGCGGGTCAAATGGAAAGCCCCGGCCACAATCGAAGTGCGGATGGCCATCCTCTGATTCAGTCGCCTGGCGAAACTGTGACCATGTCGACGTAAACCCATGGCATGGCGCAAAACTGGGGACCGCCCTTGTGGCTGTTTCAATGGACGCCAAAAAGAAACCGACAAGCCAGCGTGTCGGGTTGTCCCATTTTGAGAGAAGGGCGGTATGTGCTGGGCAAGCTGCCACTGCTCGAGCGGGATGTCGGTTCAATCAACATCCGCTCATCGAGGTGAGCACAAATACCACAGGGCTGGCAAGTTTCTGGTCACGAATCAAAAACATCGTCAAAGGTAACAGCCACAAAGGCAAGAGTCAAGACATAAAGGAGCATCCAGCCAAAAATGGATCCCACCAACCATCTGAAAAAGAAAACCAGAAGGCCCCCGCAAGCGCAAGATCCCAGCATGCAAATGATCTCCCATGCCCGCGCTTTGGGGCCTTGGCCCAAGCCCAGTGGGCAGAAAACTGGTCGCATCGAAGGAAGCCCTTGACATTCCCTTGACCAATTTTCGGCCGAATTTCGGCTCATCTTTCAACGACCAAAGGGCTCTGCCTGGGCCCACTCTGCCTAATTTGTCACTGGCCCCGAATTTGTTTTCCCCCGAAATTCACCAAGTGTAAGGGGAAACAACCTAATTCCCACAGAAACAACAACTACCACTTGCTGACCAGCAGAAACATCTCTCTCTGCCTTTCACCGGCCCCATTCTCCTACCATCAAAGCCACCCCCCCCCAAAAAAAAAAAGAAGGTATATTTTCAAGCCAAGATGGACACCACCGATCCCCGTGTCCCACGAATTTCCCCCCGGAATTCGTCCAACAGCTCGACAGGCAGCTGCCTCCGCGCCCCTTGGCGCCCCTCCGCGGGTTTTTCGGCCTGTGCGCCCCAGGAAGGCCTCGAAGCACAAGCGCGCGCGGCCCAGGCAGGCCAGGCCTCGGGGGAGGGGGGGGGTGGGAGGCACAGAACGGGTCGAGTTGGGTCCTGTTTTTTTTTTGAGGGCGTTTACTTGTTTGGCGGTGATAAAGGGGAAACCAAAAGGAAAACCACAATTTTGAGGTTCCAAAAAAAAGGAGACACCCAGTTTGCAGGGTTTTGGAGTTTTTGTTGGTTCCAGCTTGCAACATTGACTGTAGGTGTGGGGTGGCCCGGTATTGAGCGTTTGATTTCTTGTCGCATGGGTGGTCTGAAAATGCAAGGGAGTCTGCCCACAAAGGTTCCCTCATGTTGAAACGACTTCAGAAACTAGTAACATCTTTAGGTGTGGAATTCTCACCCTTTGAATCCTTCGTGGGAAGGTGTTGGACACTGACTCACTTGGGCGACTCTGTGGGCTGATGCCTTTTCAAATACGTTTGGTCAAAAGCAGCTTCCGTCCGTCGGCTTAGAAATCACCTTCCATTTGTGCATGAGTCAATTTGTTGTTCCTCGTTGCTTTTAATTTTAGTAAACAGAAACGCTCATGAACCGTATATATTTGCTGGGCAGCAATGAATCAAGCTGAAGTGCTGAGGTCAGGTCTGCAGGTGGGATGGACCCTCTCCAAATATGGACTATCATTTCTTTTTGGTTTATGTTTCCCCTCTGAAACAACCAAAGAATGGCC